CATCAATAGATTGACTTCAAATTTTTTACACGTACACTGCAGACCAAGAACTATTATGTGACAAAAACCAGACAGTTCTAGCTTATTTAGCGTCTGAGGTATGAACAAAACAAAAAAGTTCATTATGGTGGTTGATCAATTTTGGTACCCACTGTATATAATAAATTGAAAGTGCTATATTAAAATGAAAATAAAATAACTTGATTTTCAAATTTGTAAAATATGTTCTAATCGATATATCATAAGCGAAATTCCAGGAATGCCTATATGAATTCACTTTCGATTTTCTAATTAGAAAATCGAATTTCTTATTTCTTTCCTCTTGAAAACGGCATTTTCGCGCATTTAAAAATTCCTTTCAGAATTCATATAGGCATTCTTTGAATATCCTTGTTCTTTCTCCATAGATTATTTTCTATCTAGCAGTGTATTCATTTCTCTACTCTATCCGACACATTTTGTTACGATGAAAGAAAGTTACCTGACTTCTGGAGATCAACATATCCACATGATAATCAACAAAATCTTTATGCTAACATAACTAGTATCTATGATGAGACATTTGTTGATCAATCAATTCCGTTTGACATATATTTTCCTAATATTGATTCTCTTCATATCAAACTTCCTATTCATAACCAGTTTTGGTCTACTATTTCAAATTTCAATCGGTTGTATTCACTTATCGTCTCATTCCATATAGATACTTTTCAATCTCAATTGCAAACTTTACTAGATCGACCACCACATCTTCGTTTTTTACAGATCAATCAAAATGAATCATTACCTCTGCAAATATCATTATTCCAATATACAAGTAAATCAGTTCATGTACTCGATCTACAAAACTGTAACTATTCTTTCAATGAGGAAGAATGTATGAAATTATGTCATTCACCATTAGGGATTCAATGTGAAATACTTTCTATCAATGTGAAAAATCGCGAAAGTATTAATATTTTTGTCAAGTATATGACCAATCTTCGAGCATTACATATCAAATATGAAGATAAAACGTTCAATCAACGATCAACATCAGAAGAAAATGCCAATGATGAATTTCGTGATGAAAATATAGACGACAGCGATGAACTTATTCATTGGTTAGAGGATCATTTACTATCAACATGATTAGTTGGCAGAGATCCACATTGTCACAGTTTCATTCGAATATGGCTCTAATAGTAAAGTAATGATAACTATATTTATAGATCAATTCATTATGAATAAACATTGTTTGAATTGATGCATTTCATTGATTATCATTTTGTTAATGCTGAAGATGAATTTGATTGATCAAAATAAAATTATATTTGTCTATAGATTGTTACAAAGAGATGTTCCATGTGTAATACAGTTTTTGCATTGATCATATCTGCAAAAGTAACATTAGAGTAATCATTGCAAGATTTATCATATTATAGATTTTATATTGAGATTTTTCTTTTTTATTCATATGTATTGTTTACTATTTCACTTCGACTGAGCTAAAGTAATCTGTCTGTCGAATAATCCTGGAAACCCATCCTTTTCTACACAAATATCAAGATAATTTTATCATATCACATAATAAGACGATCAAATCCCTTATATCAGAAGATCGTGGTTTCTAAAACGTTTAGTCTGGTCGCCCACTCAAGTCTTTCAAAGGATGCATTGCGAGTGCTTAAAGTGTTGACGTATTTGTTTACTCGACTATTAAAAATTGAGCTTGAATTGTTCATCTATTTAGCAACTATTTAGCTAACTTCACTTATCTCATCGATAGTCTTAATAGTTGTATATGAATCGCTTTACAGCGCAGGGATCACCCACACACACTACAGTTGAAGAAGGATCTTCATTCATTGATACTTATGAAGTTTTAACATACCTGATGAAAACTGTCTGAACAATAATCGAACTGCATCCTATGGTGCTTCAAATCTACTTATTTTATTAAAATCTCACCATTCGTCATCATTTAAAACAAACATGAATCAAAAGTAATAGAGAAAGAATATGTTATTGTCCTGGTCAATGTGAATGTCCATGCATCAAAGTTCACACTAATATATCGACTGAAGACACATCATTTTCTTTGTATTATCTACCAATTTTTACTTGGAGCTTTTCAATGATTGCTTAGTTGATTTCGTTGATGCTTGCAAAATTTGTAGTACATGTATGTGTTTGGTGATATTTGATCAATTCCACACTATTTCTGTACCACCAATAAAATGTCATGACGCTAAATATGTGCCATAGTTGATGACTTGCACCAACATAATCAAAATATCCAGGTGCAAATCGTTTAGAAATTTTAGTCAGAAAAAACAAGATACCAGTGCAAAATGTAATATAGAAAATAATGATATTACCGAAGAAATATGATACATCTGTGCTGTATTCATTTACCTTAACCCAATGAAACAAAGGAATAAAACCTGCTATAGTAATAGCAATGAAACCGTTACTGTCAATTGTGTCATTAGGTTTCAAAACATGATGTAATAGAACGATCATGATGAGAAGAATGGTTGCTAAATAGTAAAAGATCCTCGTGTATAGATGACAGTTGAATATTAAATGAAGTCCAATGAAGAACGATGCGACTGTACCGAGGGCAACGCCCAAAAGATCTAATTGTAGACATAAGTCATATATTTTTGCTGAACAACCACTAAGTATGTGTAACATGATTGATGCTATCATACAAGATATGATGGATAAGACATAAAAGAGAAGCATAAAATAATCATCCATATTTGCAGTTGAAAATAAGTTATCATAGTGTCTAAATGAGATAAAGTCTCGAAGAAAATACCATGTAAATAACGCAAAGCCAACGAAATGTGTCCAAATATTAATTGTTTCATTGTGGAAATGGAAGAAGCTTGTAGCACACTCACACAATGATAAATCATGACGATAACCATTGAGAATGAATGAGTTTGTTTGCAAATGTTTTGGAACTTGATCGTAGGCATAGAGTCTTTTGTGTTTTAACTGCCACAAATAATTCATTCTTTTCTCATTTTTAAATGGTAAAGTTTGTTTTCCATTTTACGAACTTGTATCAGTTGAAGATTTCGAACGAAAGCGCTGATAGTTTTCTATTCTTCTAATTGCCAACTGAGTTAAAGAGATCTTCTCTACTGCTTCCAATAGTTTGTCCACGTTAAACGAGACGTTTCCTCGATAAATACCGAATGAGAATCCTCAATTTGAGAGACAATTAAAAGTGATCAATATAAGGGATCTGAATAACTCATCTTTGTGTATTGGAAAAAAATAACGCAATAATTGACGTATTCGACAAGCTGATGCACTTTTATTTCATGATGGAGACGTTGATGCTTTCATTGACGGAGAATGACAAGAAAAGAGATGCATCCAATATTTTCTCTATGACATATTTAACCTTTTTTTGTGTGATTCTTTGTTTATGTTATCTCTATTCAATGATAGCATGGAAGTGCCTATTATAAAAGCAACGTGTGACAGCTTGTTGAATACTTCAATCATTGAGTTCTTTTTTCGGTCAATTAAGAACAGTCTGTGGCCTTCAATCAAGAATTAAATCACATTTACTCGAAATAGATAGATCGCTTAGTAGAAATAATGAAAAATATCATGTCTACTATTTTGAGGACTTCGCAGCTTGCAATCTTTTTCGCTCTATTAGAGTTCTCGGCGTAGAGCTGAGACACTATCATGCAACTTGCCTATCTAATTTAAGACAAAAACTGATGCTCTCTCTGCATTTCTTATTTGAGATATATATGTATATGGGGTGAGGCTGAGGATGAAAGTGAAGATAAAAGCATTAGTCTCACATTCTCACTTTCGATCATTTTGATTTGCAAATGTCGGGTGGAAGGTAGGTATTTTCAATGAATGTGCAAGTCGGTTTTTCGATAACTACAATTGGATTGTACAATATGGCAGTGCTAGTCAGTGGTCAGATTGTGCTGAACTATCGATCGCAATTCAAGCTGGTTAGTACTGGCAATTCGATTGTCTCATGAATGCTAGTAATCCAGCAGTAATCTTCCATCAAGTGCCTTGTCTAACAGTTCTCACTGCAAACACTCAATGCATTCGAAATGGAATGAAAAATTCAATTTTGTTTTGTAAAACAGAGATATCAACTTATTCATCGCACTTCAATTCTAACTTTATCAACATAAATAGCTGAAAACCTGATTCAAGTTCAAATCGATATCGTAATGGAAATTAGATTGATCATTAGAATCTAACCTATATTCAACAATGAAGTGTCTTATCATTGACTTTGATTTTTATTAGAGATGAGATGGAGATAGATTTGTGAGAGTGATGCTTCCCTTGTCATCCTCAACCACTCCCCTTTCCACATAGTGAGGCTTAATCGTATCAAGATCGAAGGAAAGAACGCACGAATGAGGTTTCGTCGACATAGATAAAATGGAATAATAATCCCTACGCACTCAGAGCTCATTGTAACTCATTTTCTGAATGAGTTTGAGACGATCATTTCAGGTATATGTTTCAGAGAAACAGGGCGCGTTATCCAACGGTATTTGTCATTTTTCTGTTTCAAGAGATATTCAGTAACATATGAATACTATCATTCAATCGAGCCAAGCAACAGCTCAAGTATTGAATCCAAACCGTTACTGCGCACAATTTGTTTGTTTCGAAACTTCATTCTCCATCGATCAGTTTCTCTCAATCTGGCAATTGTTCGCTATTGGTTTCTTGAATAAAGGCATCGAATTACTAGTTCTCAACGAACTCCAAGATTCTTCTGCTCAATCCGTTCCATATCGCTTCATCTCACAAAACTGGTAGCTGAAAAAATGCTTTGAAAAAGTCTTCTCCGACGGTCAAATGCCGGTTAGGGTCAACTTTGGTCCTGTACGAATGACTCAAGCTTGTAACTTCGTGTTCAACGATTACATATTGCCTCCGGATGTTGACCCGCGAGCATCGTTTTCGGGCACAAACCACCACTCACCCGAATTGAAATAAAAGCTGCACAACAAGAAATTGAAGTTGAAGGTGTACTGTTTTTTACTTGATCCAGTGGAAGTCAAGAGAGTCTATTCGACTGGCTGCTCGAGTTGCACGATGTTCCAACTATTGCAGCGTGACGACGTGAGCGGCGTTTGGCGATTCTTCTTCCACGAGACACTCAGCGTCGTGGACAGCTTGACATATTTTACCAGTCATTTCGCCTTACAAGACAATAATTATTCCGAACTCGAACTCTGAATAATCGTATGGTTTATATTGCTATGTAACTCTTGTCTGAGACAGAATGGACCTTTCGATATTGTGAAGACATCTTTTTAAATAGTTGTCTTTTCAGAATTGATTTCTTATGAAAAGATTCGTCTTTTAATTCTCTACAACATGACATACACTCTACTAGTATAAACATCATTCATTATTTTACAAAGTGCAGTTTCAAAAACAACTCTTCTTTGTTGAATTATTTAGACTGCACTTTTTTCGTTGTTTATCAGGAGTTTCTTCTAAGGTTACTTTTTTTTATCCCATTGATGAAATAGCAAATTGATCTTCTTTCGAATAGCTGAATCTATGTAAATGTAGAACATAATATGCAATGGTCAATGTTCGTTGTCTAGGATAGAAAAGACGANCGAGCCTGGATTTCGTCGTAAACTATTTTGACCAAACACAATGCAGCTTAAAATAGCACTTACAGTACCTATGACTGTTAGGGTGGAGCCAAAGATAACATATAATCGTGATGAAATACTTGAGTAGTAAGCATCGAAATCAGCATCAACACCAGATGTCATGTTAACACAATCACGTTTTGTATGTGTTTCAGAATGATACTACAAATCATGTAGTATATGATAACAGAAAAATACTTTAAATCTACTAACGACATCATAGTATAAATGAGGAAATTATTTATTTTGAATAACTTTTCATAGGAATAGAGTTGGAAACTGCAATTATCACTCTTTAAGTAGCAATGAAGATGAACTTCAGATATCTCGAATTTCTATAATCTAAGATCTGACTAATCAGATGTGTTCTTGATAAACATAAATTTGATGTTGATTGGAAACTTTTATCGCGTGACTACTGAAATTTCCTATCTTTTTCTTTGAGAATTGGATGGAGCAATA